CATGCATTCCAATGAACCTAATATATATATATATGAGTGCAAAAAAATGATAAGTAAGAGTGTAATAATTATAAATGTGATAAATCAAATAAAAATTGGCATTTCGAGGAGTAACTCCTTGACTGACATTTGAAGGATTACTGTTGTATAGCAAATTGTGATCGTATTAAAAGTCGGTATATACGTATTAAAATTAGTAGTGAAATAGTACATGCCTTAAAATAACCATAATATCACATAAATTCCCTAAAGCCCAACTGCTTCTAACTCTAACCAATAAAATTTGGTCTGACATCTGTTGAATTACTGTCAATGCCATGTCCGATGCAAAATTTTAAAATATTCTAATCAGATCGATAATAAATAAAACTGATCCAGACATTTTGACAATTTGCGCCATTCTCATATAAAACTTGACTTAGAGCTCTCAAAATATCAACAATATAGGAAATTTGAGTGGCTTTTGAGTACGATCCAATCAAAAAATTTAGCAAAATATCTAAAGGAGGTTGTTTTGCTTCGTTGTCATTTAGACGAACCTGAAAACACAACAAACAAAGAATTAGAGTGATAAATTGCTAAGTAAAAAAACTGCTAATAATTTCCCGTTGATTTTTTAGCATACCATATGTCTACTACAAAAGTAAAAATAATTCTACTAAACTTTGAAGTCACATGATCATCGGCTATATTAATAGTATTGCATCCAGAAACCAGCAATTCTAATAAATCATATTCAAAAGTGTTGCTTGGATTTAGATTTGTTGAAATTAAACCCTCAAAATTTGTTCAATGTCATAACTGTTGGAATCGCTACTGCTAGTAGCATTTCCACCGTTAGAAGTAAATGGGTTTCGAAAAGCTGAAGCAGGATAATTGGCTCTCAGTACTTTTCTAGAAGTATCATCAAATAAGCTAAATTAATTAGCAATTGGATTATTGGCAGAGACCGTAGAAACATTTTCCGTAGTTAGAGTCATTTCGTCCCGAGAATGGATATTACAAAATATTTATAACTTCTGATAATCGCCTAAATAGATCATATGCTTTATGCTGTGAACAAAATTATATCAGCATTGTTACCATTACCAAAATTGTATTTTTCAAAGGCTGCCAATTCAAATTGAATTATTAACGTCGAAATCTTTCGTGGAGGTAGTAATATTACAACAAATTACTATTCCCTTACCGCCTTGTATAACTAGGGATGTTACGGTCCGTCCCGGTTCCCAAAGACCGGTTTTACCAGAGGACCGCGGACTGGACCATGATCCAGGACCGGTCCATAAAACCGGTCCATAAATCGCTGGTTTTCAAAAAATAAGCTATGTGGTTTTAATGATCGCTGGTTTTCAAAAATAAGCTATGTGGTTTTAATGATCGCTGCATATTAAAGCTATCATCATAAATCCTGTGACAATTGAAAAAAATTGCCAATGCCTAGTGATGCAGTAGAAACATCCCAATGGTTTGTCGTGACTAGTTCAGTAGTTGCGACATAAGTCATTGGAACGATTCTACTGCATCACTACAATGACTGAATCGACCCGTTACCGATTTTCCCACAACTTCTGATTGGTTCTACTAATTATTCACATATCGGAGTATCTTTGCTATTAATTAAATTTATAATACTCCGATAGTGAAGTGGTGAGGAAATTTAGTAAACCCCAAGTTACCGATCAAAAATCTATAAGTTACTGAATTAGGCTGACATTGGAAACTTTAGAGGTCTTACCCGGATCAAAAAATAGTGACCCGGGTCAAACCCGACCCGAAATTTTTTGACCCGGGTTGTGACCCGGGTCAGATAGGTTATATAAGTTTTATCTTGTCTGCCTATTACTTGTATGTAAACTTTAAAACAACTTGAATTTCCACTTCCAGGCTCCCATTCTGCAGCACTTATTTAGGATAATAATTAATAAATATACAATTATGAGTGTTGCAGAGGAAAATCCGGAAGTGGATATCTTAAGTAAAATACTAGGAATGTAGTAAGTAACAGGAATGTGGTGAATGCAGTAAAGCATTATATGATTTTTATTTTTACTTTTTTAATTATTTTTTTTCAATTTATTTATTTATTTTTTAATTTATTTTCTAATCTACTTTTTATTTTAATGTTTTTTTATTTATTTTTTTATTTATTTTTCATTAAAAGCAGTAGATATGTCTGATTTATGATAAATTAAACTAAAAAAATATGCAATGCTAAGAACATTTTAAAAGGTGATTTATATAAGTCCAGATTGTAAATTATATCCAAATTATAAATAGTATATATCTGTATTTTTAAAAATGTATTCAGGCTCTAATCAAAGTTTGTTTTTTTAGCGACATTTTATTTGATATTCAATAACCTATTTGACCCAGGTTAGCTTAATTTTGATCTATAACTCGCATAACCTATACAGGTCAGCCCAACTTGGGTAAGAAAACTTATAGATATTGTCATTACTATTTTTTTTTTTAGCCAATAAGGTCATTTCATAAGCTTTGGACTGGTCCAGACCGGTTCTCAATTTAGAACCAAAAACTAGTTAAACTGGTCCAAAAAACCAGTTCAGACCATGGTTCTTGCAGGACCATAACATCTCTACACTGGGTACATGTTTTGACTATAATCCCTGATAAAGTAATTGGAATTTTCACCACAGTATTTTTGATAAAAAAATTTATATAGTTAGCAAAATATTTTTTAAAAATATCTTGGCATCTACCAAGCCAATTTAAATAATTTAACTACTATTAGATACACTTTAACAAGCTTTACAAAAGTCTTTTAATCCAAAAGGATAATTAACTTAGTACCAAAAAAAATTTTAAATACATATATACCACATTTAAAAAACTCTAATTTTTATAAGTAATCTGTATTACATTTTACTATAATTACTCTCTGGTTAACTAGTAGATTACTAATTAAGAATAATAATTGTTTGTCTTTTAGCTATAAGTTTTTTTATTTAGTACACCTTCTCAAATCTGATATGCATAGTGGACAGCTTTTGTATCAGTTTTGAGAGGTTATCAGATTTAAAAATTAATTTAAAATACCAATAGCCTACTATCATATAATCACAAATAAATATAATTAGCTAAATTATATTTATTATATATATAATCTGTTGCACAAAACCTAATCTTAGCTGGATCCAACACAGTATATCTTACAACCATATATTAACTATTAAAACCTAGATGAGTCTTAACCACTCTAGTAAGTTTAGGTCACAGATAACTAGTTTAGCCAAAATTCTTTGTCTCGGTAAAGCATTTAGTTGAGCTTTTAGTCTGAGCTCTCATTTTTGCATATAATTTATATTTATTTGTTTGTATACGAATTAAGTTTTATATAGTTTCTATGTAACTACTTGTATAAATTACCCAAT